TTTAGGTCCAGACGCACTTGACGCTACGAGCTGATGGGACCAATCAGACAGCATCAAAAGCGCACCATCAACGTGTTCGTTATGTCTCTGTACGTGTTCTATCATCACTGATCCAATCATAAACAAAAAGGCCTATACTTTGTCTCATCCTACGATGGACTAAAGGCCAAAGCCACGGGCAGCCCCGTCCAATCACGTTGCATAACATTGATTAGGGGTGGACGAATAATGCTCTGAATCAAAAAGCGCTGCATCATTTCCATAGCTTCGACACTGCAAAGAGTCTGTATGCTGTGACTTTTTTTTTTTTTTGCGATGTAAAATTGATGAGTCACACAGTGCTATTTAATTCGAACCACTGTTCACCCATACCTATTAGTGATCCTAGACGGAGTCACCGACACGTGCATCGAAGCGAAAAACCACGCAATTTTTAAGTGGCTTGTGATTGGATCTGGTGGCCCGTAGCTTTTACCTTTAGTCCGTCCTAGGGTGAGACGAAGTATAGTGACTTCTGCTTTTGACGTCGCTTAATTGATCCCATTACCACATATTGTTGGTTGCGTCTCAACTTAAGCTGAAACAAAGTATAGTCGGATTTTTTTTTTTTCGCACTTTTTCGCCGAACTTTTTGGTCCCGTGACCTCCCCCATCAGCCAATTAGCATCGAGCTTCGCGGCCTCATGTTTATGTATGACTCACGTTTTGGGCTTCATCGAAATCTGAACACGCACTTCACTCGACAAAGAACGTTTCTCCTTTATAAACTTCCAGACAATTTAAATGGAGGAAAGGTTTTGCGATTTTTTTAATTATATAGGTGTGTGCGTTGTCGGTGGCAGTCAAATTGTTTTCTCGAGAAATCTGTTGTGCCTGTGCTTGACCCTAAATGCAGTGTCGACTTGTCAACCGATCATATTTGAGGTGTCGAAGCCCCCAATACATCGGCATTGCCTGGTCGGAAGCTCCCTGTCGACTTGTCTCTTTCGACTGCGACGATAGCTTTACCCTAATTTATCACCGGAGCCGAAGTGCTAGGGTTCGATGTGGAGCCCTGGAAGCAAGTGCCCGCCTGATTGCCACTTCATCCAATAGTGGGCAGGAAGAAACTTAAGGACTATTCACTGGACGCCATAGGGTGATTCCATGTCAGTTCATGCAATGATGGTCCGGGTCATAATTTAGATATTGTTGTTAAAAATATATATGAAAGCCATGTTCTTGGGAGGAACATTCAGCTAGATATGAACGCCGTAACAATTTTGTTTGCTGAGAAATAAAATAGAGAAGCTTGAGGCGTAGAAATTGAGAAGATTTCACGATGCTACTTTGCACAGTCGTCATTTCCTTATCGAACCTTTCACGGCACCATAACTTTTTTAATAGGTTTTACAAAGGTTATACAACACATACATAAAAAATTAAAAATATCCATAAAATATTTCAATGCAAACAAAAATATCAAACATGGCACAAAAACGCGTTTTAGAGACATATTCACAATTTTTTTTGCAAATAAACCATCTTTCATAATACTTCACAAAACATATCAAAATGCGCGTATTTAAATATTCTTTACGAATATATAAATATAATATGCCCACCCTTAAACATATTTTTGTTATCAACGCGGAAATTCGCCTGATTTCTCAAAATGTGGCAAGATTGGGCGTCGATATTTAAAAAAACTCCATCTTTTATTTTCTTTAAACTCCCCTTGGCTCGTTGCAGCGACTTGAACTAACCTGTGATGGTAAAAGATTGAGTAACATATGACCTTCAAGCGGGAAAAGCTACGACAAACCTTCACTCGGAGCGAGCCGACGTCTTCGTCATAGCGGCTTTGCCGCACAGCACCAAACGTTTGTGCGTTAGTTATGGCATGTATTTTATATTATTAAAATTCTTTTTTTTATACGCGGTGAGTATTAGTGACGTGAAAAGGAGCTTTGAGCTGGAATGCCATTAATTAGCTTACAATTCACAGGAATAAAACGGCCCCACTCTGCAAATTCGCTACCTATGCATCATACATAAGCTTAAAACTCTCAGTTGCGCGAATGGCCATGTATACATCTGGCCTCTCGGCATATGATGACTTTCACAGATGAGTTTCCTGGATTCCTTTGACAGGTTTTACGGCGGTCCACTTTGCTTGCTTCACCGCACGAAACTCTCGAACTCGAAGACAGTTGTGAGCACTGCGCAGAGTGGTTTGACGCGTTTTGCGAAGTGCTGAAGGCATGTAGTTCCCACCAGGAACGCAAGCGATTGTACGTGCTTCTGCCACCAATCATCCTGAAGAAAACAATATTGCGTCTGGTGTCGGGTGCGACTGCCTACATGATTGATCAAACATGAAAACTGAAGCGCAAAGGTGGTGTTTGGGCAACCCTTGATCCCTACATGGGGGAAAAGGCGAATGCCGAAGACGTGGGGTTTGCAATTGAGTACTACACACGCGACGACCTCGCATGCTCTGTTCAAAGCCCCGACAAAAAGGACGTCGTCAAAGCCATGATCAACGACATGTTCAAAGTTGTAAAAAGGTTTATGACCCGCTCTATTAAGGAAGCTTACCAGCTGTTTAGGAAGAACCATCCCAAACCCGAACTAGGCATCTCCAAATTTTATTCCCTACGACCAAAATGGGTAAAAAAAAAGTCCCGAGCACGAGGTGTGCGCATGCATATATTGCGTCAATTTTCAGTTGCTTTTAACGGCAATAACAAATGCCCCAAAGAAGACATTAACTGAAGACGACCTCAAGCGCATCTACCTCTTCTGCGCTCCACAGAACGATTGCTTTCTGCGCCGTTGCGAAAAGTGCCCAAAAACGCAGAGCATTTCGCTGTAGTCGCTTCATCTCGACGAAGACCAAGAGATCTGTTTCGCGTTATGGGACGCTGGCGAACTCGTCAAAAAGGTTATGGACATTTCTGCCTTCCTGCGGCAATAGGAGAGCGAAAAGTATATGAGGCATTCTTACATCCTTGACCTTGAACGAAGCCTGATACATGACACAAGAACCGCCTTACCACCCAAGGCAGTGATGTTCCGCTTCGATTTTGCGGAAAAATGGACAGTACTCTTTCCAACCGAAGTGCAGAGTTTTCATTGAAAAAAAAAACTCAAGTGTCTCACTCCACAAGTGTGGTTACGTCCACGCAAGGCACGCAAAGCTTTGCCGTTGTCACCGATGGTACACGAAACATGACACAGCTCACGCTCTTCTAGCCACATAGGCCATAAAAGAGTATGTTAATGTTCATTTCCTAGTCTTTTTTTAAATAATTTTTGTATCAGACGGAGCGGCGGCGCATTTCAAGAATCGCTTCCAATTCCACGAATTGTCTCAGAAGCCGCACTCTTCGGCAAGATGGATCTTTTCAGACACTGGACACGGAGAAGGCGCTTGTGATGAAGTAGGTGGAAGAACCAACGCTCATCAAGTTGAGATCTTCGCTCAACTCAACGATTGCCACCGCTAAAGACTTTGTGGAAGTGCTACGTAAAAAAGTAACAAATGTCTGCATGTTCCACCTGTCTGTGGAACGGGTTCGAGAGTTTCGTGCGGTAAAGCAAGCAGAGTGGGCCACCATAAAACCTGTGAGAGGAATCCAGGCTTCTCATCTGTGGAAGTCATCATATGCCGAGAGGCCGGATGTATACATGGCCACTCGCATAACTGAGAGTTTTAAGCTTATCTATGCATAGTTAGCGAATTCGCACAGTGGGGCCGTTTTGTTCCTGTGAATTGTAAGCTAATTAATGGTATTCCAGCTCAAAGTCCATTTTCGCGTCACTAATACTCAGCCGTTATGAAAAAAAGAATTTTAATAATATAAAATACATGCCATAACTAACGCTCAAAACGTTTGGTGCTGTGCGGCAAAGCCGCTATGACGAAGACGTCGGCTCGCTCCGAGTGAAGGTTTGTCGTAGCTTTTCCCGCTTGGAGGTCATATGTTACTCAATCTTTTGCCATCACAGGTTAGTTCAAGTCACTGCAAAGTGCCAAGGGGAGTTTAAAGAAAATAAAAGATGGAGTTTTTTAAATATCGACGCCCAATCTTGCCACATTTTGAGAAATCAGCCGAATTTCCGCGTTGATAACAAAAATATGTTTAAGGGTGGGCATATTATATTTATATATTCGTAAAGAATATTTAAATACGCGCATTTTGATATGTTTTGTGAAGTATTATGAAAGATGGTTTATTTGCAAAAAAAATTGTGAATATGTCTCTAAAACGCGTTTTTGTGCCATGTTTGATATTTTTGTTTGCATTGAAATATTTTATGGATATTTTTAATTTTTTATGTATGTGTTGTATAACCTTTGTAAAACCTATTAAAAAAGTTATGGTGCCGTGAAAGGTTCGATAAGGAAATGACGACTGTGCAAAGTAGCATTGTGAAATCTTCTCAATTTCCACGCCTTAAGCTTCTCTATTTTATATCTCAGCGAAAAAAATTGTTACGGCGTTCATATCTAGCTGAATGTTCCTCCCAAAAACATGGCTTTCATATATATTTTTAACAAAAATATCTAAAATATGACCCGGACCATCATTGCATGAATTGACGTGGAATCACCCCATATTTGTGGGTGCTGTTTAGAGCGCATGCTCAGAAATAAATCACATTTCTAGGTTGATAAGACCGGCAATCTTGATGGTGTGGAATGCACGTTCCAAAAGAACTGCGAATGCTCGCCATGAAGTACGCGCTCAGCAGTCGCGCACACGGCTATGGCCGCCAGTGAATACTCCCTATACTCCGTTTACCCTTAAGCTGAGACCGCAGCCAATGTCACAAGCACAAGAGCCCGAGGTCGCAGCTTTGAAGTGTTCTTCCGCAGAGCGAGCAGTCGCGCTAGAAATGCATGTCTCAAAGCCAGGACCACGGGCTAGCTCGCGCATGTAATTTATGCTGCAGTCACATCTTAAAGGGTCTGTCTGCAAACTAACAGACAGACCCTTTAAGGTCTGGGCATGGGAACAGCCATACGATGCGGACGGCTAACGTTTTTCGCTTCTTCTGTACGCAGTTGATGTTCAGCACATGCTTCCTACCAACAGTGGATTCAAGTTCTACAGTTCTACTCGCAAAACCTGTCACAGCGGCGGGTAAACTGCCAGTCATCAACAAGAACACGCCACTTCGTCTCCCACCGGACACGCCCACCATCCTGCCAAAAACGTTCGAGAGGCCAGCCTCATCATCAGCGACATCAGCGGCGCCACACGATAAGAGGGACCGGCCGATCGCCTATGCTTTCACTGGGCATGGGAACAGCCATACGATGCGGACGGCTAACGTTTTTCGCTTCTTCTGTACGCAGTTGATGTTCAGCACATGCTTCCTACCAACAGTGGATTCAAGTTCTACAGTTCTACTCGCAAAACCTGTCACAGCGGCGGGTAAACTGCCAGTCATCAACAAGAACACGCCACTTCGTCTCCCACCGGACACGCCCACCATCCTGCCAAAAACGTTCGAGAGGCCAGCCTCATCATCAGCGACATCAGCGGCGCCACACGATAAGAGGGACCGGCCGATCGCCTATGCTTTCACTGGGCATGGGAACAGCCATACGATGCGGACGGCTAACGTTTTTCGCTTCTTCTGTACGCAGGTTAGTAATATCGATTCTTTGTACACTAAAAAATCAAGCGACGTTTTTCTTTTGGTGTTCCCATGCCCACGGGAGTTGTTCTCGATCGTCGGTCAGAGTATAGATGTTGTAAAATTGCTGATGCTATGCGGCGACGTTGAGGTAAACCCCGGTCCTGAAACGCGTAACAAACAGCTTGACGACATGTGCAAACTGCTTCAAGATGGTCAGTCTAAACTACTAATGGTTGTAAATGAAATCAAAACAAATCAACAGCAGTTGGAAGACAAAATCACTGACATCTCTAACCGGCTCCAGAATGTGGAAACTAAGACTAATGTTCTTGATAGACTGGATTGTGAAGTACGCACTACACAACAGGTTCTAGAAGAAGTTAAAAAAGAAAATGCATTCTTGCGTGCTAGACTTGACGACCTCGAAGATCGGTCTCGGCGAGACAATCTAATCTTTCATGGTATAGATGACTCGCCCTCAGAGACCTGGGCCCAATCTGAGCAAAAAGTACACTCGCTGCTTTCTAACGTCCCTGAGCTGAGCATTTCTGAAGAGGGAATCACTCGTGCGCACCGGCTTGGTACGTTTTCTCGAAACAAGTGTCGACCAGTAATGGTAAAACTTGTGTCAACCAAAACTAAAGAGAGCATCCTTTCAGCAAAAGCTAAACTAAAAACATGGAACGTCTCAGTCAATGAAGACTTCGCACCAGCCACACGTTATGCGCGCAAGAAGTTGTTTGACTTCGCAAAATCTCAGAGTCCCAATAGTATATTTAAGATAAGGTACAACAGGCTTCACCTAAACAAGAAGTGTTACGCCTACTGCAGTACGAGTGACGAAGTTTATGAAATTTCTAGTGCTACCAGTGCTACTGATAGAGGTGCCGAGTCACTCCAACCGCAACACGTGCAATCAGCAACGTCATAACAATCGTGCACTCTTCCAGTCAAAGATTCGACGGTGGAAAATGTTTCTGTTTTCTTTACAAATATCCGAAGCGTAATAAAGAAACGCGATGAATTGTGCTCCGCTCTTGATTCTGCTTCTGCCGACATCATTGTGTTGACCGAGACATGGCTCTCTAGCAAAATACGTAACGATGAACTTTTTTTTTTTTTTTGTGATAAGCAGTACAAAGTTTATCGGCATGATAGGGATTCGCGGACGGGCGGAGGCGTGCTGGTTGCAGTTGCTGATTACATTGAGTCATCCCATATTAACTTAGCATCTAGCTTAGAAATTGTGTGTGTACGTTTCCAACTAAGTCACAGAAACATTGTTGTCTGTGCATGTTACCGCCCACCTACCTTTGCTAAGAATTTTGTGGAGTTATTACATGACACACTTAGCGGGATTGTTTCAAGGTTTCCTAACTCGCAGCTATTTATTTTTGGCGATTTTAACTACCCAAATATTAACTGGTCACAAGATATTCCTATTTGCGTGCCTTATTCTTCTGAAAGCAACGATTTCCTAAATCTCTGTGCAGATTTTAATCTTTCGCAATTAGTAACCGAGCCCACGAGAATTACGTCCTCAGCATCCAACGTTCTTGATCTTATTTTAACTACGTCTAAGGACCTCGTAGAGCCGATCTCTTATCTTCCAGGTCTTAGCGACCATTTAGCCTTGCATTTTTTCCTGAAAAGTCCTAAGAACAATCCTGCTGATTGTGTCAAACACATCCGTGATTACGCCAGAGCCGACTTTGAATCCATAAACCGCGAGCTATGTACATTCATGGGCTCTTATATGCAGAATTTTTCAGAACGATCGGTTGAAGGCAATTGGTGTCTGTTCAAAGATAAAATTACTTCATTGATCACCAACTACATTCCCTGTCGTGTTGTCAAATCAAACTCGAAATCACCTTGGTATAGTACGACTTTAAAAAGGCTGTCTAATAAGAAAAAGCGCTTGTTTCGAGCAGCTAAATCATCAATGTCTCCCGATCGCTGGGCCGCGTACCATTCGGCAGCTGAAGTATACAAATTGGCCGTCGATGAAACTAAATATAACTTCTTCAGCATAAAATTACCCTCAATGCTCACTAACAATCCAAAACAGTTTTGGAACTTAGTCAACCCTGCCGACAAACATTTAATACAACTTAAAAATTCAGGCGGAGAGGTGATTTCTGGTGAAGATTGCGCTATGACTTTCAACGAAAGTTTCATCAGTGTCTTTAATGATTTCTTAGGTGCCAACCATCCCGTAGTACCATCTTCTGATTTTTTGCCCATGTTACCAATTGTGTTTGATCCACCCGGTATTGTTAAAATTATTGAAAACCTCAAGCTGTCGTCGGCATCAGGTGTCGACGAGATAAACGCGAAATTTCTAAAAAATACCAAAATGTACTCCTCAATCATCTTGTCATCTTTGTTTCAACAATCACTTGATCATGGCGTCTTACCCGAGGACTGGAAGGTAGGGAAGGTTGTTCCAATTCACAAAGCTGGTGACCGTTTCTCCCCTTTCAATTACAGGCCAATATCTCTTACTAGCGTACCCTGCAAAATCATGGAGCACATAATTTCTTCACAGCTCTCGCGTTTCCTGGAGTGCAACTCCTTCTTTAGCCCTTTTCAACATGGATTCCGCAAATCTTTCTCGTGCGATACTCAGCTTTTAGTTTTCACCCACAACCTCCACTCGGCTCTGGACCGTGGATCTCAGACTGACTGCATCTTTCTGGACTTTGCAAAGGCTTTCGATAAGGTAACACATAAACTACTACTATACAAGCTTAGCCTACTCAGTATTGATCCATATATCTTATCTTGGTTAGAGTGTTTCCTCACTAACAGATCGCAATTTGTAACTGTCAATAACAAAAACTCGTCATCGTCCCTCGTTAAGTCCGGTGTACCACAGGGTTCTGTCCTAGGCCCCCTCTTATTCTTAGTATATATAAATGACCTACCTACTAGCATTTCCTCCTCCATAAGCGTATTTGCGGATGATTGCGTTGTTTACCGTGAAATTACTAATGACTCTGACGTACACATAATTCAATCTGATTTAAATGCAATTTCTTCCTGGTGTGATGCTTGGCACATGAAACTAAACACTATGAAGTGTAAGACAATGAGGATTTCTCGCAAAGCAGCACTCTGTCCTAACTACTTCCTATCAAATAACATCCTTGAAAACGCATCAACTTACAAATATCTAGGTGTTCATATCTCTCCTGACCTATCATGGAAAACTCACACCGAATATATCGTTAATAACAGTAACCGCATGCTTGGATATTTAAGACGTAACTTTTCTCTAGCTCCATCATCATTAAAATTACTACTTTATAAAACACTGGTGCGACCAAAACTTGAATATGCATGCTCGGTCTGGGATCCCGGTACAGAAAGCCTCATATCAGCGCTTGAAGCCATCCAAAACCGGTCAGCACGTTTTATATTATCAAACTACCATCGTACATCAAGCGTCACATCCATGAAAGCTAGTCTCTCACTGCCCCCTCTTTCCACTCGTCGCACTATCTCCCGTCTCTGTTTATTCCATAAAATTTACTATGCCAATTCACTCTTGAAAGAACAACTAATCAGTGCTCCCATCTACGTATCCTCTCGCCTCGATCACTGCTGCAAAGTTGGTATACCCACTTCCATTTCAAATTCTTTTTTCAAATCTTTCATCCCAAAAACATCTCGTGATTGGAACGGCCTTCCCTCACCCATTGCGTCCATTGGCGATTTTGTCCTCTTTAAAGAAGCTTTAACAAGTTACTATTCATGATCTGTGCCGGACTAACCATTTTCAGCGTTTTTTGTACTTCCGTTGCCCACCCCCTCTGTAATGCTTCGGCCCTGAGGGTATAATAAATAAATAAATAAATAAATAAAGCAAACAAAATATTCCACCCTGATTATAGTTCACATTTGTTAACACCCAATTTTAGAACCTGACTGAATCTTACAGTTTTCGTTCTAGTTTTAATGTGATATTTTCTTACGTGAAGCCACGCTCTTAAGCTATCGGTAACTGTATCCTTATTCAACATCTTTTTTTATCATTATTATTTACAAAGAATTTGGCCGTTTTATCTTGTTGCTTTTTAGCCTATTATCTGACGTGTTTTGTTTCGTTTTTGTTCTAGAGTACTACTGGATTTACATCCTGTTTAACCCAGAGCAGTTTTGAGTTCGTATACATTCCCTAGTTGCATGTGCGCAATAAACTTTTAACGGTGTCTGGGGCGACTGGCATTGTGTGCGTCGTTTCGCGCGCGCCTTATCGTGTAATCTCGAAGATCGTAGAGCTCTCACGATCCTCCTAAGAATTCCGTCTTTTTTTTTATTATTTCTCGGCCTTAGAAGGGGAAAATGAGTACGACGCGTTTATCGAGAAAACGTGTTTTTACGGCCGTTTCGGGGAGCGCTACCGTCTTTGAAGACGCTCCAATTCTGACATGACAGGCTGAAGGGTCCACAAACAGAGGGATTTGTATGCTCGAGAGGCAGAAGGGATCAGCGTTTAAGGCGGCCTCGGGAGTCAGAGCCTCAAATGTCATTTTCAATATAATTCAACATAAAAAGTAATATTAATATTATTAACTCGGCTTCTTATCTTTTTCTTTCTTTTTTTTTTGCATAGATTGGGTGAAGTAACAATGCAGTTTGGCTTGTTTTGTGTAAAAGTAAATAGCATAACCGTCGTTGTTGTTTCTTATCAACTGTTCCAGACCTAAATAAGGCACGGTCCATGCCTCCTCTTGTCTGCTTACTCGCCCTGTCTCGTGTTTGCTTTCGTATTCGAGGTGAGAAGCTCGCTAGGGGTGCTTCAGTTTTCCTCACTCTGGGTAGTGCACGATCTACCCACGCACTTATGTCTTAATATTAATAGTGCATAGAAGCTTGCCATTGCACGTGCTTGCACCAGCAGAAGGTGTTGAAGTATCCCCCTCTCCGGGTTTAAAAAAAATTCCACCAGGCTGCGATACCAAAACTTCTCGCCGCGAATGGGTCAACGCGTTGTCTTACGGGCAAGCCCGCGTTTGTCCCCGCCAGGTGTGAGCGGGGCGCGCATGCGCAGAAAGTAGATTCGCGTCAGGTGACGCGTAGGCGCACGCCTAGACGTCACCTCACGCGGTGTGGGGTGGCCTTACCAACAGCAGCGCCACCTCCGTGGTATGACGTCAGAGTCACGTGTGAGTCCAAGCAGCGTGCCTCTTGGCGTTGCCGAATGCCCCTTTCTCGTTGGCGATATTGCGTGAAAGGACGGGGCCGAACAAGACGGAGAACCCCCGGAGGTCATATACAAATCCGTATATGCACCGAAAAACCGAGGGAAAGAAGAAGACCAGAGAGCGCGGGGGGCTTCAGAATGCCGATCTCCGGTTGGATTGATTAGAGGGTACACGCAAGGCTATACCTGCCTTTGTCTCTACTCCCCCTTCAAACGTGTTCACTTGCCAAACGCCAGCGTCCAGTGTTTGCATTCGAACGCGTTCGAAGAGCGAGTAGAGACAAAGGTAGCTAGCCTTACGTCTACCCCCTAATCATTCCAGTCAGAGCTGAGCGTTCTTACGTCCCCGCGCTCTCTCCCCCCCTCCTCTCTTTCTCTCTCGATTTCTCGGCGCATGTAGTCACTGACAAAATGAGAACGGCAAGGTTTTTCATAGCCTCCTACATACTGACAAAGCCTGGCAGATCCCCACGAAAAGCGGCCGCAGAAATGGAAAAGGTGGAACGGCAGACAATGGATGAGAGGAGAGTCACGTGACTGGCGCCCCGCTGGGGCGAGACGCCGCAGCGAATTCGAAACACACGGGATGTGTGTCTGTGGTCCTCGCCGCTGCAAAAGCTGTGCGCCGACGTCCAGGTTCCCCGAGAAATGGCTCTTCGATGCTCTGTGCCACCAGATCCTCGCGCTCCAAATCTGCGACCGGGCAATATATGGCTCCGTCGTCGAACTGCCACGCTTTGTGAGTATAGGAAGTATTCACTGGACGCCATATTTCTGGGTGCTGTTTAGAGCGCATGCTCAGAACGAGCTCACATTAATAGCCTCCTAAGACCGGCACTCTTAAAGGTGCGGAATGCACGCTCCAAAAGGGCTGCGGAAGCTCGCCGTCAGCACGCGTTCAGCAGCAGCGCACACGGATATGGCCGCCAGTGAATACTCCCTATTCGCGTCTCCAGCTCGACGCTCGCCCTCCCGCGGCGGAAACGGGAAGCGCTCTAGTGAGAGTCCCCCGATTCTCCTGCTCAGCGGGCACGGCGGAACTGCTCGCGATCATGGCTCGCGAATGTAATTTCCGAATGCATACAACACTCTTCACTGTCCCAACGTAGTGCTGCAGCCGGTATGTGATTCTACCTTATTGGTGAGTTTTAGTATTGCGCATAGAAGCAAAGGGAAGCGGTGCGCGTTTGCGTTAGAGTTGCGTGCTCCACGTTGTGTGTGCGCCTCATCGCCATCCGCCATCCAAGACCGCAATTTTGGGCTCCGCGCACGCGCAGTGTGGAACACGCAAAGCTAACGTAAACACATAGCACTTGAGTTCGCTCGTATACGCAATACTAAAACTCACTACTGTTTCACCGGCTTCCGACGCCAACGAAACTTGCTGCAGTGAGCAGACGCGAAAGCAGGTAGGCGTTCCTACGAACTGGAAAGGCTAAGATTGGCAAAACGACGAAGCGTAAAAATGGAAGTAACTAAATTTTATGAAACGATTAATAATTTAATAAAAATGTTTTTTCTTGTTGTTGTTGTTGTTTTTTTTGTTTTTTTTTTTATTTTTGGGCATTTGGTCTGGAAGGATATTGGTGAGACTTTGGACGTTTTGCCGATTGTCGAAAGTCGCGACTTTGATAGCAAAATATACTTAACCCACACTTAATGTAATTTCCCATAGATTTCTCTCATTAGCTAGAATGTTTGATTTAAGCCTATTTTTGTTTTCCCAATTGGTAATTAAAATTGCTGCAATTGGCACCAGTGATGATAATTAGCAGACTTTTGGTTGTCATTTTAGTTCGCACGTTTTAAATTGGATCATACTCAACAAATTATATTAAAACTTAAAAAATAACGTATTAAAATATCTGAATTTTAATCTTATTATTATTAATACAAATCGCGGCAATGTACGCCCCCCAATTAACGCCAACGTCACAAAATACGCCATTTAACCATAATAGTCTTTTCAGAAAGGTAAATTTTAACTCTGACATCGTTATCAAGATAGACAAACAGTCGCACTGGATGTAATATAAAGTCCTATATCCGTCACGCGTTGCTATAAAACACACACGCACACACACGCACACACACGCACACACACACACACTCTCTCTCTCTCTCTCTCTCTTCAGCTGTCTGACTCGGATTCCGTCTTTGGGTTGTTGCAGTGAGAACAGCTTTAGAACAGCGTTTATTAATTTATACGTTTTGTGGACATATTGTAAAAATATGAATTATTCTTGTGCTAGGAATAATCTTAAACCAATTAATCATCTAAATAACTAAAAACTCATTAAAAGACCCGCAGTTTATTATTTCCAATGACAATTATCTGAGCGAGAAATGGCAGCGAGAACGCACAAATGTCAGCACAGATTTCTTCAACAACTACAAGAACTACAAATATAAGCCTGGTCGAACACGTATGTCACAAAATAAAGTTCCCGCGAACAACTTTTCAAACTAAATAATTACGACGAGACACATCTTGAGTTATGAAAGAATTCAAAATTAAGACCTATATCGAGAAGTTAAATCCAAAATAGAGGTTAGTTTCGGTTTCGCTCCAGAATTAAAACGCGCATCCTTGCGTAAATATTACGCTAAACAGTGACACCGTTCTTGTTTTCCGGGTAAAGAGGTGACCTGCGCTTATAACACCCTAGCTTCCTCGTATTACCAGAAATAATTTGTGTCGCTCAGTGAAGCCAGCACACTAGACAGGCTCAACAGCGGCACGCATCTCCGACCCTCACTAAACCCGCCATTTTGGAAAATGAGTGGCGCCACCTATAGTTAGTTGAAGTCGCGAATAGAGGAGGTTGTGGGCATGTTTTCTGAACACCCGGCCTTCTACAGAACGCGCTCTGTACCTTCCGCCATGCTTTAATTTCGCGCGCGCCCTCAGGGTGCACAACACGCCGTAGTGTTGTCCAAGCTAAAATAGACTCGCGCTAGAGGCGGGACAACTCGAGCTCCTTACTGCTGTTCTCACGTTATAAGTGACTATGCGGAGGGCAAGTTCGTCTGCTTCTTGCGCAGGGGGTACCGGTGACGTCAGAACGCCGAGCCCTGACTGGCTGATCGCGACCCCCTATCTGAGCGTCGTCTGCTCCTTTGCGACGTCGTCTGCTCGCAACGTCGTCTGCGTCTGTCTTACCTTTCCTGCGACTTTTGGAAGTGCAGAGGCCAGATTCACGAAACGATCTTAGGCCAAAATTGTGCCTAAGACAAAACTTCAGAACAAATTCGTATTCACGAAACGAAATTTTCGTAAGTTTTGCGCAGGTTACGACGAAATCCTACGGACAGCTCCGAAGCTGTCTTACGCACTTTTTACGATCAAATCAGCATGGCCGACAGCGTCGCGGTCGCGACGATCCACGGACGTTTATTTTTCTACGTGCGCTTCTCACGCGTCCCGACTTCAAGCAGCAAGAAAAAGTAAAAAGTACTTGAAGCAGACCACGCTGAACAAGAACGCTGGATCCACAAACACCCGGGAAAAGCTCCGACGGCCACAATTCCACCGAACGCGACCCAGCGAGATCGGCAGTTAAAGGGGCACTGACACATCAAAATCATTTTTTTTTTATTATCCGAAACGATTGATAACGATGCCGGGACATTACCCTCAATATTTGAAATTTGGGAATTCAGTATTTGTGAAGTAAAAAAACAATTTCCAAATGCCGAATTCGAAGTTCCCGCGCGATCGGCGCCGGTGCCTTGACGTCAAAAATTACGGAGACCTGAGAGTCGACTTTCTTTCGCCACTCCCTG